GCCTGTCCAGAGCCCCCATCGAAACACCTTCCGGCAGCAGCAACGACGACGACGACGAGTGCTTCCTAGGTGCAGTGAACACCGACGACATGTCACGACGTCAAAGAGACGATCCTGAGTTGCGCGCGCTAATCGAGCACCTCGAAGGACGACGGGGTACTGTCCCCCGTGTCTTCTCGAGAGCCCTGCCGACTTTCGTCCTCCGACAAGGTGTACTTTACAAGAAGAACTTCGGATACAACAGCACACCATGGCTGCTGGCAATCCCCACCGACCTTAGAGCGGAGATTTTCCAAGCCTGTCACGACGACCCGACGTCCGGACACCTTGGTTACAGCCGTACGCTGGCCCGAATTCGCGAAAGGTATTACTGGCCCAAGCTGCCGAAGACCGTTCACTTCTACACAGGGTCCTGCCACGAGTGCCAGCGACGCAAGAAACCGCCGACGAAGCCGGCAGGTCTCCTGCATCCGATCGCTCCCCCGACCGTACCGTTCCAGCAGATCGGAATGGATCTACTTGGTCCTTTTCCACCATCGACGCAAGGAAACAGATGGATTATTGTCGCCACAGATTATCTCACACGGTATGCCGAAACGAAAGCCCTTCCTGTAGGGACTGCTGTGGAAGTCGCCAAGTTCTTTATCGAATCCATCGTCCTCCGGCACGGCGCTCCCGAAGTTTTGATCTCTGACCGTGGATCATCGTTCATGGCCCAGCTGACGCAAGAAATCCTTCGTCTCAGCCACACCAGCCATCGGCGCACAACGGCGTACCACCCGCAGACCAACGGGCTGACGGAGAGACTCAACAAGACCATCGCCGACATGATCTCCATGTACGTCGACGTGGAGCGCAAGACATGGGACGAGGTGTTGCCGTACGTCACATTTGCCTACAACACGGCCGTGCAAGAGACCACCGGGGTGACACCCTTCCAACTGGTTCATGGTCGTAAAGTAACGACAATGCTGGACGCGATGTTACCCCACGAACCGGCTCTCGACAGAAGCGACGACGCCCAGGTGGTTGCCCAACGGGCAGAAGAAGTCCGCCAGCTCGCCAGACACCGTATTTAAGCCCAACAACGTGTCGACACTGGCCGCTACAACCTTCGTCGTCGGGACGTCCACTTCCAGCCCGGAGACAGGGTGTGGGTGTGGACACCGATTCGCCGCCGTGGTCTGTGAGAAACTCCTAAAGCGCTACTTCGGACCCTACAAAGTACTTCGTCGTCTCGGGGATCTGAACTACGAGGTGATGCCCGACGGAACACGAACTTCATCACGCCGCGCTCCACGACCGGAAGTCGTCCACGTCGTGCGCCTCAAGCCGTACTACGCGCGATAATACTGCGAACTGTGATCTTGTGCAGCGCTTGATAGGATTGTGTTTTGCGAGCCTCCGTATGTTTCCATTTTTTTTTTGTTTGTTTCGCTCTGTTTTGCTGCCTTTTACATGGCATCGAGACGATGCCTTTTTAAAGGGGGGAGTAATGCCACGCTCGTCAGCGAGCGACCGCGCGCGTGGCCGAGTGGTTACCGTGCTTGACTGTCGTGCAGAAAGTCTGGGTTCGATTCCAGTTAGTGGAATGCTCTTTTATTTGTTCCTTCATTGCGTTCTCGTGAGTTCGAGAACATTCTCGTCAGATCGAGTTCTGAATGTTCCAGTCGCCGAACAGTCTAGGCCGATTGTTCCAGACACCAACGCGCGTACATAAGGGACTCCGCGTGCTGATCTGCAGTCAGTTTCGCCCCTGCGTTCGACTCTGCTACTACGCCGACTTCGACGCCCGCGACGCTCTGTTATTATCTTTTGTACCCTTTTATTTTTGGCACAAGTTCGCCACATTAAACGTTCATTTCTTCCTCTTTATTTTCTGTTTTTTTGGTCACCATCCGTGACAATAGTACCATTTCTGGGCGCATCATAGCCCTAGTTGCTTTTGCGCCACAAAACCCCAATCTACTACTTCTACTACTGTCGTTGAAACTATCAGTGTAGATAAAACGAGTGTCAATAAAAAGTTGATACACCATGTGGATGGAATGAGGGTAGGTGAAACAATAAAGGGCCTTTTTTCCGATGATTCCATGGGAGCTTTGAAAATGAGGACTGAGAAGTTGCCTCCAAAACGTTCTATATGTTTTCTACGCCTGTCCGTCTTTTCCAAGCTTGACCCGAAAGACGAGGGCGGACTCTGAAGAGCCCATTCGCGGCTACAGCCTGGTATAATGCAGGGATAAACATACGTCAGAAACGTAATTACGCGGTTTGAGCCGAGGAGCAGTACTATTTTCTGTTCTCTTTGTTTAATTTCCTTTTCTTTTAAGTCCCTTCTATCTATTTTGTTGTTGCCGTTGCTTAATACAATCATTGTTGATTTTGTTGCAATAAAGACAACTCATTATACCGCTTGCGTTCGGGCCTAAATCGCGACGTCTGGGTACTCGGTAGGTTTTGATATTTTTGATTTAAATTAAATACTTCGCATATGAGAAAGCTACAATTCAAGAATTGAAGGAAAGTTGTCCTGGCAATAAATTTTTATTTACATACTTTTCAGCCGTTAAAAATTATTAAACCAATGCTGCAATCGGATAGTGTGAACAAAAATATCCTTCTAAGGTGAATTGGAAAGCGGAACGTTCGGAAGCATTTGAAAGAACCAAATTGGCTTCCCTCAAATTCTCTGAAATTTTTCCAAAAGAAGACATCAGCTTCTTAACATCCAAAACAGTATTAATTAAATGTATATAACATCCGCATCACTGGCTTTATCATGTGTATGCCACATGGAACAGTCGATTATTGAGAACGAGGGGGCATCAGACCAAGCGCACTATTGCACTCATAGATTACCGCGCAACTGATTTCTACGCGGAAACTTGACAAGGACGCCACGTTTCACAGATGAATACATTCTGTTTTGGAGGCATAATTTCAGTAGACAGACTTTTTATTAACGCCAGCAAAGATACAGTTGAAATTTGATGAAGAGACTCGCTGTGTTCGCGGTTCACTTATGCCTATCCCGCAGAGCCCATTACACTTATAAAGAATAGTTTGGTGACCGCTGCATTTCAACATCGTTCCGCGGAAACCACTGCCAAGAAACGCCGATGCCGTCACAAGATAGAGTGAGTAGGCAAGCGAGCTGGTTGATTCGTTGTCCCCTTTTCCGACTTTCGTCTCTGGTTTTTCCAGAATGCGTAGCCGTCAAAATGTTGAGGCGCAACCTGAGGCAGACGAAGCAGATGGCGTCCGACGTATGTACGACGCATCGAGCGTTTTGATGGCAACGTTATCGCTGGATTATCACGTTGTCGCGCAGTATCTCTTGCGAATAAAAGTCGACAGCGTTGCGACTTAGCCACGTACGTCCGGGTAAGTTAAAAACCGCGGTAAAGAGCATAATTATTGCTGCAAGATGCTGGAGTCATAGAAAATCTACCAGGCGCCTTGTTGAAAATATTCGTTTGCAAGAACAAGATTCGTTCGAGCAGGTCGTGACGTCATGGAAACAACGGGACGCTATTGGTGGCAAAGGAATACAAGATTCCCTTTGAGGGGCATTTTCCGCTACCTTCTTGACTTGTAACCGACTATAGTGGGAGCAGGCGCCGACGAGCGGCGAACATAGAGAGGTCTTGGATGTACGCGGCGGCGCTACGGTCGCATATGGGCTCAAGGATCGGACCGGTTCCGAGTGTTCCGAAAGCCTTCGGCAGGCAGGTTTGGCTTGCGATTGGGCCGTCTGTCAGTTCGGCAGTGCGAAGTGGCTCCCGTTCTGAACTGATGTTTACCCTGTATTTTCTGTCGTTTCTGGCCAATTAAGTGTGTCGTTGTGTTAAGTGTGCCCTGTGTCGTTGTCAATCTACTCTTTGTCCGTGTTTTTTTGGCGCTTATTTTTCCACAAATTAAGTGTCATGCCGAATTAGTGTTTAGTTGGGCAGCAAATGCAATGCGAGCCGCCCTGGTCGCCCGCTTCATCCAGGCTATGCTTTAGTGGCACCCTCTCGAGCCGTCGACACGAAGTGCGGTAGCCGTGAGCACTCGCTGAGCTCACTACTTCTCCTTCAGTTCACGGCCACTCAAGCCAGGACCAAGGACGCCGTGAAAGAAGTTATTTTTTTGCTTGTTTTTGTAACTTTGATTTGCCTATACCTTCTAGAATAAAGCGAAATTCAAGAAAAGAAAAGTTTGATTAAGTGACAACGTTGAGTGCGTTCAGGCTCGGTGCAAATTAAAAACCACACAAAACGTCATTGCAGGGCTCCTTTAAGATGGAGAACTACCCAGATAGCACGCCAGAAAAACGCCTCACTTGGTAGAAGCTTGGTAATCCTGCTTGCCTAATTTGGGCCTAATATGGAGAACTACCCAGATAGCACGCCAGAAAAACGCCTCACTTGGTAGAAGCTTGGTAATCCTGCTTGCCTAATTTGGGCCTAATATGGATTTGCCCAAGTCGTTAGAACGTGCGAAGGCACTATTCCTTGACATTTCTATGGCTTCTTAGTGCCAGTCTTCAGCAAACAATGCAACGTATGAGCCGAACACCAGAAGTCAGCCTAAATCTTGCAATTGTTTTTCAATCTATACCCGAAGTTGACAAATGAAAACCGAAAAACGAGAAGTGAAGCATAACTCACTTGTCTGGGGTATACGTTCAAATATACCACGAAACTTTCTTTGTTCCAATATACCACGGTGAGGTTTGGCTCTACCTTTGCTTCTTTTGGCTTTTTTAAAACCATGAATTCCCATCAAAATAAAACAAATACATATTTTGGCCCAAAGAAATAAGCTACCTGGATGCGGCCTTCACATATGAGTTCCAGATATTAACCCCAGACGTAACCCGAGTTCCTTGCCGCAACGCTTGGAGTTCTATTCCGAATCGCAGGAATTTTACCTACTTTTTTTTCGCTAATCAAGACTGTCGTTGTAGACGCCTTGGAAAAAAGTAGAATGGCAATGAGCTTCAGATGACTTACCTTATTCAAGCAAATCTCAAGTTCGGAAAGCGTACAGTATGCGTGGATGCCGACCTAAATAAAAAAAAACAGACGCGACAATTTTTTTTTGTTTTCTGTGCACAATGTTCTTGTAGTAATCATCTGAAGCGAAAGAACTGAATCGCACTTACCATAACAAGTCCCGCCTTTGATGCCGCATAAAGCAGCTGCGCCCCCTCGTAAAGAGGTGGAGAGACTAGGGCAACCCTCGAACCCACTGGAAGCTTGAGGGACACCAGGCCTGCAGCTAGATGGTCTACCTATAACAAGAGAAAACACATATCAGCAACAATTTGAGAGCGTGAAAAGCTTTTTAACAAAACCCACCAAGGCAAAACATTTGTACGTCCCTCCCTCCGTCCTTTAGAGCATTTTTAAATTTATCTAAGAAGTCGTCGCCACGCGACCTGAAACAATGCCGCAATTTAGTTTCCGCGCTTAATTTAACAGTGAAATAGATGCCGCGTAATATAAATATATCGTTGGGAAAGACATGCAGGACCAAGAAGAAGCCTCACGCAGGTGCATTGGGCGCGCGCAGTCTGTTCCCCGTGGGACACTGATAACGGTTGCACAGCGTTGTATTTATACATCCTCTCATTTAATACACCCATATTTTCACCCTCACGCGTGGCGGAGGTAGCTTAACGATCCCTGTCCTCTTCACCGGGTACCATTTTGCCTTGGCCTGGAACTCCGCAGCGGCCGCTCGAAACGCGCTCCGATGCCCGACGAAGCAGGCAACACCAATCTTAACGACCAGCGCCCCGTGTCACACTGCCGGCCAAGCACCGCCACCGGGATCCTCAAGACTTCGCAGGTACGCATGACGCTGATGTCCACGACTGGCTAAAAAGCTTTGAGCGAGTCAGCGAGCACAACCGTTGGGACGACACACTGATACTAGACAACGTTGTGTTATACCTAAAGGTAACCTCCTTCAATGGTTCGACAACCATGAAGAGGAGCTCAATTCATGGTACGGGTTTAGAGCCGCATTCGCAGACGTCTTTGGCACTCCCGAGCGCCGCCGAAAACAAGCCCGTGACAAACTGTCACAAAGATACCAAGCCGCTACTGAATAATCTGCAGCATACATCAAGGATGTTCTTCGCCTTTGCAATTGTGCCAACTTGAACATGCCTGAGGATGACAAGATCCGCCACCTCTTCAAGGGATTGTCCCAAGAATTATTTTCTTTGGTTTTCCCCAGGTCTCCTCCGACTGTTCAACAAATTATCTCTGAGTGCAAACACTACGAGGATCTTCAAATTAGACGAATCTCCAAGGATCGATTTGCGCGTCTCCCAGAAGTTTCCAATACATCTTCTGCCGCCAACCTCCCGGCATTAATCCACACAATCATCCGTGAAGAACTCCGTGAGTTTTTGTCATCTCTGTCGACTTCACACCAATCAGCCGCTACTTTCAAGCAATCCACCGACACGACCGCACCTAACATACAAGAAATAATCAAGGAGGAGCTTCGATGCGCCCTTCATACGGCGCCTTCTGTGCCTGGCACGTATGCTTCAGCAGCTCTTCCGCCTCCAACTGTCAGTGCTCAGCAGCATGCGCCGTCAATATTTTCTCCGATGCAACCTCAAAATAAGACACCAACACCACCATGACTCTATGGACCACTTCGAAAAACAGAGGTATGGCAAACGTCAGACCACCGTCCAGTTTGCTTTTATTGCCATAACCCCGGTCACATCATCCGCTACTGTCATCGGCGCATCGACGCCGAAACTTACGGTCGGTCTCCACTCAACAACGCCAGACGCTTCGACGACACCAACGCTAGCCGCAACTTCGACGGCCGCCCTCTCAGATCCTTCTCTGGTTGTGAACCTCGCCGTGGCCGATCACCAACTCCTTACCAAAGACGTCAGCGCTCCGTCTCACCGTTCAACAGCCCTCCCGTTGCAAACCAGTCGTAAAACTAAAAGCAGCAGCGTGCCTTGACACCGGAGGTCAGGCTGCATTCACACGAACTGTCGGAAATCCTCCTCGTCCGTATCCAACAATTATTACCGTAACAGTAGACAAAAAAAAAATTTTAGCACAAGCCGATACAGGGGCCGCAAGATCCTGCATGTCCAATAACCTTCGCCGCCGTTTAAACAGGGTCCTGACTCTGCCAGCTTCCGGATATTTCCTGCGCATGGGGAATGGTGACCTCATACAACCTCTCAGATGCTGCACCATGTCCATCTCTATTAGTGGCACTACTCACACTATTGTGTTCACTCTGCTCCCCAGTTGTGTTGCTGACCTTATTCTCGGATGGGATTTCTTGTCAGCCGCCGATGCTCACATTGACTGCGCAGCCGCGAACTTCACTTGAGCTCTACTGGCAATATAAACGACTTCCAACATCAATCTGTGCCCCTTCACACCGACGGCGTCTACACCGTCCCTCCTCACTCTGCTCTCGCCATTATACTTGGCCGGATCACTCGCTCTCAGCCCAAAGTTGTCTCGTTGAACGTCTTCCAAACACCTTCACAGAGAAGAATATCATTGTCCCGTTCAGGCCTAGTCGCACCAAAAGACGGCAATTTTTTTCTTTTTGTCACCAACCCCTTGGCCCCAGCGCAAGTTCTTCCCCGTGGTACGCATTTGGCCACCGTCGCCACACAATATTTTGAGCACAACTTTGCTACGCTGTCTGAAGACATCAAATGTACGTCATTACCACCTTCGACAGATATCATTGAGAAAGTAGGAAAAATGGTGGACCATAACTTGACCGTCACCCAACATGAAGCGTTGACCAACCTGCTTACAACTTACCAAACTCTCTTTGAGTTCAACGGGCGCCACTTGCCCAGACATCGCATGTCCCGCACCACATCGACACTGGAACAGCCTCACCTATTCACAGTCGTTCGTAGAGAATTTCCTCGGTCGAGCGTAGAGCAGTCCGCGACCACGTCCAAGATATGTTAGATAAAGGGGTCATCGATCCATCCCACAGTCCTTGGTTTTCCCCAGCAGTTCTTGTCAAGAAAAAAGATGGTTCCACGCGTTTCTGCGCAGACTACCGCCACCTCAACAAAACAAAAAAGTACGATGTCTACCCTCTCCCCCGCATAGACGACACCCTCGACACTTTACAAGGATCTTTTTTCTCCGCCATGGATCTCCACATCGGATATTGGCAAACCCCTGTGGCTGACACAGACAAACCGTAAACAACCTTGATTACACCTGATGGACTGTACCCGTTTAAGGTTATGCCGTGCGGTCTCTGCAACGTGCCAACAACATTTGAGCGCATGATGGATACACTACTCCGGGGCCTCACGTGGTAAACATGCCTCTGTTGCCTTGACGATGTCGTTGTTTTTGGAGCAAATTTTGAACAGCATTTGCACCGCCTGCGGCAAGTGCTTGATTGCTTTCCCTCCGCTAGCTTACAACTCAACTAAAAAAGAGTGCATATTTGGAGCTCGAGAAATTGAAGTCCTTGGTCATATAGCCAGCATTGATGGAGTTCGCCTGGATCCTCAAAAAACAGTCGCCGTCTTTAACTTCCCACAGCACAAGAACTTAAAAGACGTACGCTCGTTCCTCGGCCCATGCACCTACTTCCGCAAATTCATACCAGGATTCGCTAATCTAGCCGAACCTTTGAACAGGCTACTTCGCAACAACATGTGTTTCAACTGGAGTACCGAGCAAACCAAGGCTTTCGAATGCCTCAAAATGGCACAAACAACCGTGCCGGTACTCGGCCATTTTGTTCCAGAGGCAGATACCGAGATTCGCACAGACGCCAGTGCATATGAAATGGGTGCAGTTTTGGCCCAAACCGTCTCTGGCACCCAGCAGGTCATCGCCTACGTCAGCCGCACCCTTACCAAATGCGAACGCAATTATTCTATAACTGAAAGAGAATGCCTAGCCGTCGTATCGCCCATTTCCAAATTTCGTCCTTATCTCTACGGCAGCCGCTTTTCTATTTTTACTGACCACCATGCTTTATACTGGTTGGCCACTCTCAAAGATCCTCCAGGACGCCTTGAACGTTGGTCACTCAAGTTACAAACTACGATTTCAACGTCCTGTACAAATCAGGGAAACGCCACCTTGATACCGACAGCCTCTCTTTGTGTCTACTACCGGTTTCAACACTCAATTCCACTCCTGCCGCCCAACGAGATACCATGGCAGTCTTCGGCATTCTTGAAATTGGAGCCGCTCAATCGTGCGACAAATCTTTGCAGTCTATAATTCAACAGCTCAACAGCACGCTAAAGAACCCCAAAGTACAAACCCAACGGCGCTCCCGACTCTTCGTACATCGGGATGGCATTCTGGACCGCCGTAACTACAACCACCAAGGACGAACTTGGCTTCTGGTTGTTCCATTACAACTACAGCGAGAAATTATTCAAGCTTATCATGACGGCCCTTCAACCGGGCACCTAGGATTCTCCAAAACCTATTTTAAAATCCGCCGGAACTATTTTTGGACCGCCATGACCCGCACCCTCAGCAAGTACGTTCGAGCATGTCCCCAATGCCAAACAAAGAAATCCCGCACCACAAAGCCATCCGGTCTTTTACAACCTCTTGTCCCACCTGATCGGTCATTTCAACGAGTCGGCATAGGCCACGGGTGGCCAGGCTGTGGCTCGCGAGCCGCATGCCGCTCTTCGCGTGGTAAAGTGCGGCTCGCGGCTCCCTCCCCTACCCTCCCCCACTCCCCCGCCTCCCTCCCGGTCACACGAGCACTTTCCCAAAACCAGAAACGGAACGTTTTAAATTGAAAAACAGGTTGCGGTTTGGTAGTCTTCTGCTTCTTCTGCCTTACGTACACTTGGACTGCTTTTGACTCAGGTAGGTTGAAAGTAGTTCGAGTTTAGTTTATTGCCCTGAAAAAAATCCCCCCTTCCCCCGCGGCTCTTGGAAATTTCGTGGTTTTGTTTGCGGCTCGTAGGCCGGGTCATCCTGTCCACCCCTGGCATAGACTTTCTCGGCCCCTTTCCTCGATCGACCATGAACAACCAATGGATTTTCCTAGCCATCGACCACCTGACGCGATACGCCGAATCCAAGTGCGTTCCAGCCGCCAATGCCCAGGAAGCCGCCAACGTCTTTCTACACAGAATTTTGTTACGTCATGGAGTTCCCCAGCAGATCATCCCCGATCTAGGCATCCCGTTCATTTCAAACCTCCTCGAAGACGTCTTGCGCCTCGCTTCAACCGTTCATAGCGTCACAACTGCATATCAACCTCAGATCAATG